ACCTTAAAGCAAATAAAACAGAGTCAGGCTGAGAAAAGAAATTAATCTATCCCATTAAATACTCCTTTCAAAAAGAACTCAGGAGAATACAACATACTGGAAATTTCCAAAATTAATTAAACTTTAGAGCGAATATAGTAGGACATATAAAATGTATTGCACAAGCTTGAATCATCACTCCTTAATTTAGAAAAGTTAAAATTTGGAACTTATCAAGAAGGCCAAGGCAACTGAAGAAATAAAAACCCAAAGAGAGGAGGACAACATGCTAAAATTTAAACATGTTGGATAATGTTATTTTTCCATACAAAGCAACATGAACAACAATAACACTAAAAAGAGAATAAAATATTGATGAAACACACCAGCTTCAGGCATACCACCTGAATTTGAAACTTAGCTCTGACATTTGTGTGCTATATAACCTTGGGCAAGTTTCTCCGGCCTCTCTTAGCTGGTTTTCTCATATATAAAAATAGAGATAATCAAATCTACCTCACAGACTTAGGTTTAAATAAGACAAAATAATGTAAGCCAAGTTCTTCTACAGGTGCCAAGTGGATAGCAAGCACTTAATGAAATATTTTTACTATATTCTTGTGACAAAATGGGCCCCGTGGGATCCCAGGGACTTCTGGTAGTCTATCATACAACCTGGGTTTAAAAAAAAAAAGGCTCAAATTTCAGATGGGCAAAGGAAATTTCTAGAAGATATTTCCAGCAACCCCAAGAAAAGACAGGTGACAGACACTACAAAAATAAAATTGTAGGGGAATTTCTCCTTCTGGATAAGGTAGAGTAGCAGGGACCGGATTTAGCCTCTTGTCCACAGCAACTAAAAACCAACAGACAAAATACATTGAAATGAAACCATCATTGAAATGATGGTTTTTAGGCATTGGACATTAGGCAACTCAGGAAGGGCATGGGTCAGTGGAGCCCCACAGCTGCCCTAGCTTACTACTTAGATGGTTCCCAGGCCACAGCACAGGGAGGGGAAGCTTAGGCAGATTTCACTGGTCTGAGCAGAGGCTACAGATTTAGGAGTTAGGGACTTCCAATGCAGATCCAGGGTACAGAAGGCTTCATGGAGAGAAATCTCCTCTAGCCTTCAGCTGAGCATTGACCAGCATATGTGAGGAAAATACCTAAACCTGGGAAAAAGAAACACCCAAAAGGAGCAGACGAAACAACTCCTAAAAGTTAAAAAGAATAGAATAATTCATATTCTTCCCAGACAGAAAAGAAAATCTTGTAATTCATGGGGCACTCAGGAGGGCACTCATAAGGGTATTGTCTCAGTGTGAGAAAAAATTTACCCTAGCATAAGCACTGCTATGGTTTTAAATAACAAACACTAAAAATAAGCTTCAAAAAGGAATGAACTGTTTATATATAGGTCACTTAATTTTGCCCAGAAGAAATCAACATTATTTTTAGGAACACCAAAATATTGAACACTCACAAGTAAAATTCACAGTATCTGGCATTCAATAAAAAAATTTCCCGGCTTTCAAAGAAGCAGAAAAATACAGCTTATATTGAGGAGAAAAATCTAGTGGAAACAGATCAGGGAACGACACAGATGATAGAATTAATTAAAAAGGACACTGAAAGGGTTATAAGTATATCCCATATATTCAAGAAGGTAGAGGAATGAACAAGCATTTTAAAGGAAGACATAGCAGATATAAAAAGCACAAACTGAACATCGACAATGTTTGAAATTAAAAACATACCTGGGCGGGAGGGTGCCTGGATGGTTCAGTGGTTGAGCATCTGCCTTTGGCTCAGGGTGTGATCCCGGGGTCCTGGGATCAAGTCCCACATCAGGCTCCCCACAGGGAGCCTGCTTCTCCTTTTGCCTATGTCTCTGTCTCTCTCTGTGTGTCTCATGAATAAATATTTTTTTAAAATGAAAAGAAAAAATAAAAACACACTGGATGGGATTGACATCAGATTAGACACTGGAAAAGAAAATATTAGTCAAGTTGAAGACATGGAAATAGGAACCATCCAAAATGAAAAACAAAGAAAAAAAAAAAGGAAGAACAGATAAACAGAGAGTCAGTAATCTCTAACAAATTTCGAGAAGTTTCATGTGTTAACTGGTGTCCCTGAAAAGGAAGAAATGAGAGGGACAGATGAAAGTATGGGAAAAGAATACCTTTTCTCTATTATGTATACAATGTATCTTTATCATGTATCACTCACATTTTCTTGATAAAAAGATTGCTCTCAGAAGAGTGATGACCCAGAGAAGATAAGATGGGCTAAAAGGATACTCCTGTTCACCCATCTTCAGGAGGGTATTTGTGAATTTCACTATGGAGTCAGCCTCTGAGGCCATATGCAAATAGGAAACCTTGAAATTACTCAGTGGATTTTTTAAAAATCAAAAATAAAGTAAGATATAGTCTTATTGGTTCAAGTGCTTCAGACACTTCCGGTGACTCTCTGAAATTCCTTGTGTTTACTAGCAAAACAATGTATTTTCATGTACATAAATAAAATGTTTTGAATGTCTTAACTATATTACATGTTGCATCTTAACCATACTTCTAAGGTAGCTATTTAGGATGTGAGCAGATCTGTTATCTGTAACATTTTCCAATTTTCCCAAAGCTTCCTGAAATTCATGAAATGACTTAGAGTGAATGACATGATATAGTACTGAGTTGGTACATTTTTTTGTAAGCAAGAAAAAAACTAGCCTCAAACTGGTCTGATTTATGGCTTAATTCAGTATTCTATACATAGAGAGTCCTCCAAAAAAAAAAAAAGTCCTTGGTTGATTACCTGGCTTAGAGCCCACATATTTACATGCAGAAGGAAATCTTCTTTCATGAGAGTCATGATCTATTTGCCTTTCCCTTTTGTTAGGAAAAAAAAATCAGAGACTTCAAGGACTATTATACTGCATAATGCTAAATTCTATGCAATTGTTCATGGAGTCCTTTCCAGGGACCTTACAGCACTATGGACTACATGCTTAATTTAATATTTTTGTCTTATCCTCAGATTTGGATGAAAATTGTTTTAGAATCTTGCTATTTGGTTACATTGCCCAGTGATGCTGAACAAGTAAAAAATAGAATTAAGCAAGTTAGTATTTCCCCTAGAAACTGGCAACATGTGGTATTATGAGCTGGAGTCCCAAGTAAAGTTTAGTACTGTCTAGCACCAGTACTCAGACTTTCTATTTTCAATGCCCATGGATGCACTTCAAGTTTAAGAGCAGAAGATCAAATCCAATCCATCAACATTTAAGCAATGCTCATTACACCCACAGATTCTTGAGCGTGTCACCGTGAGACTTAGTGGAAAATCCATAAATCTATAAGGTGGAGGTCATAGTTTTCTTTTGGTTTTGAAACTTGTGGTAATTTACCATTATAGAACAAAAAGAACTGTTGCCTATGACTTACAACTCATGTGGCTGATATGTTATCAAAATTTATGTTCTATTGTATTTTAGGAAATTTAAAAAATTCTCCTTTAGAACAAAAGGACATTATTGACATATCATAATAGAACATGTATACTGTTGTCCTCTGCCAAAAAGGAAATGTTAAGATGTGATTGAGGCCTCCCACAGATTTCACAACAGTTACAGATCAACTTGGGAAAGAGAAAGAATGCACATGTTCTTTTTGACCAGACTTTTGGTTAACAGGTGATCCTAGCTGAGATTGTTGCAAAATTTCAACATGCCTTCATAATGGCAGTACAAATGTCAATATAAATGTGAAATAGAACACCAACTTTAGTTATGTTCATGTGAAAAGTTCTACAATTTTCTCCACAACTTTTTTTCTACTGAACTTTACCAAACATGGGTATCATTAGGATGCTGCTTCTTGCCCTCTCAGTGTTGGGGGAGGTCATCGATAGGACATGATACCCCGTTGACCTGTGAGCTGAGCCCCGGCAAATGGAGGCTTCTTCCTCCCTCCCCTGTACATTCTATTTGCCTGGGATGTACATTCTCTTTGCCTTCCCTGATCCCAAAAGCTGCTCCAAAGGACACAGCCTCAAGATAGTGATGTGGTGTTGAGACCACCTGGACAATATACACCTCTGAACTCAGTGCAGGCCTCTACACAAACATTTAAGATTACCAGACAAATGAGATCTACTAGTCTTGCAGCCACCCAAGATGATCCCATATGCAAGGTCTCAACTTATTAAAACTGCCACCAACAATGTGGAGTGGCCTGCCTTCTTCTTTGGTTTTTCCTTGTGCTCTGTGTACAAGGGCCAGTTTTGGAATTTGCCTGGGAAGCTCCAGAGAAGTTTGTGAACCAACACATATCATTTTGAACAATTCTGAAATTTGTTATTGTTGACACTTAAAGATTCTATTTTGATAGTCTAGAGAAAATTTCCGAAGATAAAATAGAAAGTTGTACGGGAAAAACTTAAGTAAATTCTGTCCTAATCACATGTAATTTTTATTAAAGTAACTTATCTCCATACAGTATATTTAATGGTTGATTTCAGTATATTCTCTCATTTTTACTCACTAATCACATATTTCCCATACCATCAAAAAGAGAAGTTTAATTTATACTCCCCAGAAAACATTTTAAGGGAAACATTTTACTAACCATAAAGTATTAGAGTGTTCTATTTTTAATAATCCACTGTTAGTAACATGATAGACATTACTACTACTGCTAGCAGAGTTTTAAAAGCAAATTAAATCCATTAGAAGTCGCAGAAAACAGCCACTTATTTATCACCACAAAAAGAAAGATAAATAAATTAGACCTCATGTAACTAAAAGCATGTTCCTTTTGGAAAATATTTATATATGAACTTTGAGGTAATTTACGGAGTTAATAGGTTTCATCTGTGATAGAAGAAGAAATAAAATGTGAACAAAGAAAGGCACAAAAAATGTCAACCACAATGAAATGAAAGAGGTACTTTGCCAAAATAAGCAATAACAGCAGAGTGTTCTGAAAAGAGAACATTTAGTAAAACAATCATCTGGCTAAGGTAAGAATTCAGAACTTTATTTGTAATTAATGCGGCATGCTGACAAGTTTGCTCCACTATTTCTACTCTCCTCGTGATGGTACAAAGACAAGCAGGGAAAGTAGGAATATAGTTACTTAGTTAAGTCAAAAAACTTATCCAGTGGATGAAGGGATGATCTATGTTAACAGGTAGCATCATAATGTACGGGCATGATGTAAAAATGGCAATATTCAGTAGCACTTAAGCTTTGATATTGATGGCTAAATTATTAGTCTTATTTCTCATGTAAATAATACACCTTTCCTTAAGAGAATTAAGTTTTTGTGTATTTTAATCCTTACAGCTTTCCTCTGACATCTGTTAGGTCACTGTTAACTTGTGTTTCACAGAGGCAGGCCCAAGCCACCATTCTCACATGCTACAACCTCCCTTCAAGTGAGGTTGGGGAAACCTCCCTTCAAGTGAGGTTTTCTTGGGGAAAAGACCATGATTTACCTTAAAATATCCTTCAAGTGAGGTTGGGGAAACCTCCCTTCAAGTGAGGTTTTCTTGGGGAAAAGACCATGATTTACCTTAAAATATCCTCATTTTGATGAATTAGAATGAAGGGGACAGCTTTTTGATTCCCTCTACCTAGAACCTCTCTTTATCTGTTAACATCTTACTCACTTTCTGGGTTTTTATTTAGAAATTACCTCTTCTCTGAAATAGAAACAGGTTTAATTACTCTTGCCTCTGTTCCCCCTCCTACTTTATTTGTAGCTGTGGTAATAACATTTATCATATTGTATCATGGTGTTAGACAATACACACGTCAGCTTCCTCCTGCAGAACTTGGTCACCCTTGTGTCCCTCTCACAGAGTCTGCTATAGGCCCTGGCATGAAGGAGCTGTTTGATCACTATTTTTTAATAATGATTTATTATTTTTTACAAAGTGTGACCCCACAGACAACAGGTAAGAAAAACTGGGTATTATTAACTCTTCATGCTTTTAAAACAGCTCCTGTCAGTGGAAGAGGCTTAAGAGTAAGGCAGGAAGTTAATATAAATTTTAAGGAGTCATTTAAAAATAAAAATGGAGGAGGAAAAAAACTGGCTTAAATCCAACTGGCACATCATTGCAGCTAATCAGAAGTAGGCATATTACCACCCGAAGAGGAAGACTTCTTTCCTGAATAATCAAGGGTTTACAATAATTTCTTAGATGCACTCTTTAGGACAGGAAGAAGGATGAGAAGGATATTATTAATAATAGAGATGCCTGCTCAGGAAAGAACCCCAATGAATACAGGCAATTCAGCTGTTCTCTCCAGGAAAGGTCTTCAAAACAGCATGACTTTTATTATCAGTCCAGTGAGAGTGGAAAGAGCTCTTAGAGACAGTAACAGGGAAATATTTACCAAGTCCCTAGCTCACGCCAAATCCTTTGCCAAGAGTTTTCATAGATTATTACGTTTTCCTATCATGAGTTAGATTATCATGGTCCCCATTTTACAAGGAGGGAAAGTGAAGAAGATCGAACAACTCCATGAGTTGCTGAGATTGCAACCTTAGCAGGGAGCTTTGATCAAACCAAATTTCAAGACTTTTCCTATTATGTTCTACATCCACTGCTTTTAGGATTTGAAAACACTGTTTCTCACCTACTGCATTCTATTAAAACTATTCCCATTTTAAGACACTATGCTTAGGCTATTTCACATTTGCTAAATTGTAATTTGAGGATTCCTTTCAAGTGAAGTTGGAGAATTTGTCTATATTCTTTGGGCATCTCATGGAAACCGCGTTTAGGTAAGTTGTTGTCATAGTAGTGATGACTGACAGGTGTGTCTTGCACCGTTCTAGAGAAGGGCCAAAATCCATACAGCTTCACGTGCTCACACAGTTCAACTGCCACACTTGTGATCATCAAGCCAGAGGACAGGCGAAACTCTGTTACACCCTCAGTTCTCCAGAAAAGGGCAAGATTTCTCAGGTACTTGGGATGGAAAAATATAACCTTTTGTCTTGCGTTAGACTCTTTGAGTGTGTTATACACTTTGAAAGAGGCAATCGTGTTGGCCCTGAAAGAAAACGCTGGCAGGAGAAGGAATGCGTCTCCATAGGTTGCAATGTCCTCCAGAAATATTTCCTTCTTTTTCTTTAAGTTTCCATATCTGCCAAATTAAAACAAACAAACAAACAAACATCATCATTATAATCAAGTAGCATTTTTGGTTACATGGGCTGAATTTACCACCAGCCGAGCCACTGAACCATCTATATCCCTGCTGTATATAAGAGACAAACCCTGAATTCAGAGGCCAAGTACAAGTAAGATGCCTGTAAGTATCAAGGTCTAGGTCTTCATCTCTCTTTTCGTAGTGTGTCCCTAGGCTTCTACTTTTATTTTCTTACTGGGCTATATCCTTACTGGACACACATTTCTTACATTATCTTCCAGCTCAGTAATTTTTTTCTCTAAGGTTGCTTTTTGATACAGAAATATCTTCCAAATTAATAATGATTAATGTTTTCCTAAACATAGCACACTCTTAAAATGTCTATACATTAAAAAATCACTGAGTTGTACACTTGTGCTCTGTGTATCTTTTTGTACATGTGATCATAAAATAGGTTTCCTTTAAAGAACCTTAAAAAACTATATTCATACACACACACATACACATTTTAAATTTCCTCTATGTATTGCCATAGCTTTATATGCTTGATTTACATACTACCTTAGTGAATATACTAGTATGCATGATTGTCTGTGTATAGAAAGTAAACTTTTTGGGTACAGGTACAATATTTTGTATTATCTTAAGGGATTCTAGAACTATATGAGTATATACTTTTATGGTGTATTGTATTAATAATAATTATTAGTCAATTTTGGTGAAAACAATGTACGTATGGGATTTTTACTAATCAGGAACATTTTTTAGTGGCTACACTGTGTAAATGAAATATAGGAATTATTTTTTGGTAATAAACTATCCATAGTAAAAACTTCTTTTTTTTTGGCCAGGTTCTCCTAAAGGCTCATTCATTCTCTGAAGTTTCTAAATAAACTGTTTCATCAAGAAACTGCTCCCAAGATAAAAGAGTAATGCTAACATTCTGAAAGAAAATTCTCAAAAGTAACTTCACTATTGTTAAAAAAGATGAAGAGATAAATGAGTTTTCACTTGATTAGTAATATTCAGCTTATGACATTGGAAGTGCAATTGGTTGGATAGCCCAGCTGGTTCAGAGGTAGAATGTACAACTCTTGATTTCAGGGTTTTAAAGTTTGAGCCTCACATTAGGTGTAGAGTTTACTTTAAAAAATAAAGTCTCTAAAATAAAATAAAATGGGTTTCTTTAAAAAAAAAAGAGGTAAAGTTGGTCATACCTCTTATGAGCTACAACCTCGAAGAAAGTAAAAAAAATATGAATATATTCTTATATCTTTCCCCAAAAATCATTCTGGCTGTATTGCAAGTCATTTGAGCAACAAGATTAGTGTTCAAACTAAGAAACACGTTAAACAATAAATGTTCTCAAACAGTTATATAAGTCAGAGATACTTACTTTAGTCTTATGATACTGGGATTTACAGTCACAACATTGGTTTTGCTCCCAACATCTTTACTAATATTTCCTGTGATTGGGGGGAGGTTACATCTGAAATTCGAAAAAAACAAGGTATTTTCAAAATGCAACTTATAAAAAAAACTGTGTACACTTACCTGTACACATATGATCACTGTCATTTTATTGAAGAAAATAATAGCTGTTAAGGGGTTCTGTGAAATACATAAATTTGATAAAACCTTTCAATATTAAGACCCTTACACATATCAAAATGAGAAATGACATTACCTTGCCTAGCTTTTGAAGAGTTAATAATCCTTTTATTAGAATTATTATTTCTATTAATTCTATTCCCACAGTGGTATGATCATCAATTTACAGATCAAAAAAAAAAAAAAAAAAAAAAACCAGAGGGACTGCGACAAGTTTACAGAGTCTGCCAGAAGCAAAGACTACATTAAAAAAAAAAAAAAAAAAAAAAACTCCAAACCCTGAAATCTCCTGATTCCCATATGGATAGTTTTTCTAGCAAATTATGCTGTTAATAAATAAAACCCCAATGTTCTCATAATGATGTTTTCATATAAATGTTCTCTTCCTCTTTTGAGTACTAATTTGTTTTTAGTACTCAAAACAAATTAAGAATTGTAATTCTGAGTAGTTATATTCCTTTCACAAAAAAAGGGAAAGTTGGTTATGACTCCCTAAGTATTGTTTGCAGAATTTCAAGTAGACCATTTCTTTAAAGCTATACATACAAAGGGAGCATCTGAGTGCTTCCTAAGGAAAGCTGTTTCATGTTGATGTGTTCGGCAGAACTGAGCTTGAAACAGTATTCCACACTCTATGAAACATAAACTCAAATGGACCGTGTCCATCTCTCATTGATAAAAAAAGATGTTAGAAAATAATTAAATGTGGCACCTTGTGAAAAATACATATTAATCACAGATAATACAGAAATGCCTTCATTAATGGACATCCTGTAATAACAAATCTACTTTCTAATACAGTCCCATATATTTTTTAAAATCAAAGGTGATTTCCAAGAGAGTATCATAGGAGACTCCAAGGAGAAATATTGAGTATTGTTTACATACAGTGGTAGTTAGTAAAACCACTCATCATCTCTTTTTGTTCCTTACCCACTTAACTAGTAGCTCCCCAACTTTTGAAACGGAAAACAAATCATAATAAGCAGTTCCCAGATTGTCATGATAAAACTCTGAATATGTGCAGTCAAAGTACAGGCTTAAAATTTAAATAAATTTTAATGACCATGACCACATCTAAACCCTCATTCGGCCATTCAGTCTGGAAAGGTCAGTTCCCTGATACAGGGAACTCTATCAGAAACATTCGTGTCCTCAGTGAATGTAGAATCCAGAAATACGCAACGCACACTTATTGCAGAGTTATAAATTAAAAAGATTTTAAGATGAGATTTTTGTTTTTATTTTTTAAACCTAAACTTGTATTTCCTGTATCTGCTATTAGGTAAAATGGATGTGTAGCCATAATACACCCTACAGATGTTTTGAGAATTTTAAGTCTATAAAAAGTCTATTACAAGAAGAATTATTTATCTTCATTATGGCTTTTTCATACTGAGTGCTTTAACAAAATGGCTAAATCATTTGGGTATTGGTCATTTTAACAGAATCATGAGGAGCACATTCAATGACCCACTGGACTTTCAGGTCTATTGTTCTGTCATTACCTTTAGCAATAAAAACTTAAATGAGATTAAAGTGGTGGGACTGGGGGGGAAGCTACTGATTGAAAATCCTGCTTCTTTTCAGGTGCTAAAAAGGGCAGCATTAAATCAATAAGGATCAAAGGCTCTCCTCTGATGTATGAAATCAGTGCCCCTGAAATAGGAAGAAACAGATTTCGACTCACTTTTTAAAAAGGTGCATTTCAATTGAAATCCATCCTCACAGGGATGAATCACCTTTCCATCGTATCCTGAAAGTACAGAAATTCTGCAGCTTGGCTTATTAGCACAAGCACACAGAGAAACCACATTTGCATCTGTTTTTGCAAGCTAGCTGGTACTGAGGTACAAACACGTTTGAAAAGACCAGAATTTTGAAGCTCCACTATTTAATTTCAAGTCAGAAAACTAAACAATGATGTTGCATGGTAATACAATGCTTAGGTTATCATTTTCTCAAATATTATCTGAGAACAAAAGTTTCTTGAAATGCTCTCCTCTCTCTCTCTCTCTCTCTCTCTGTGTGTGTGTGTATATATAAATAATATATAAATATATATAAATATATATATATTTCCCCCCATTTTTCCTGGTGAGCCTGGGAGATGTTCTCCAAAGTTCTTCTGAGAGAGCCATGGTATCCTTAATACACTGAAGGCTCTGGCAAGTCCTGCAGTGAAGATCCTCTTTCACAATGATTTCAAGCAGAGCTTCTCCAAAGTGGCTATAGTGCAGTTTTATCCTTCTGGTTTTAACATTCTGAGGAACTCGTGATCCATTTAACACTTCAGGAAAGGCTACCTAGATCATTTGTAGACTTAAGCAATACAGCTCAAAGGTCAAAATTTACATGGAATGTCTTTACAGCATCCCTTTAAAATATCCAACTGATCTTTGGTTTCAAGGAAACCAATCTGACAGGCCTTACCTAAAAACGAAGTCGGATTTATCTATTTCAGCTCCACAAAGAGACTTGTTTAGAATTCCCCCATTTCCAACCACTGCACACTGATTGTAGGGATACTCCACGAAAGGCTGAGACTATGAGGAGACAGTAAAAAACCATCACGACATAGCTTTAGTTTCAGAATCATAAACATCGTCAATTTAATTCAAGCAGCTTGATTTTTACACAGGCTAAGGAAAGAGAAAAAGCAAGGAAAAAAGCAGAAGTAGCATGGCCACAGCAGCCTGATCAACTTATGACTTAAAAACTTATGACAATAAAAAGTCCTGCAAACCTGCATTTCCTTTCTCTTGAGAGGAATATACAGTGTATCATATACCCTAAAATAACATAAAATATATTTGTACATAAAATATAACTTAATGTATCTCACATCACATAATTAAGTACCTAACATCAGATTGGCAAAATCCCACTTTTGGCCTTTCCAACAGACAGGAATGTTTCCAGCAAAATAGAGGAAATAAAGCAATTAGAAAGTATCATTAAGTCCTCTATTCTTGGGCATAAAATTAATAGCTAATTTAGTGGAAGTTTCCTGTGCTTCTTAAATAGTTAGACCTTCAGGCTCAGTGATGACATGAGATTTATGCCTGCCATCTCTGCAAATGACCAGCCATGGGGCTACAGGGACGCCTACGAACTCTGTGCAGACATATTTCAAATTAATTTCCAAGGCCTGAATCTTTTATATTTCCTCCAAGGACCTGACTTGCCCACCTTAAAAGATTTTCCCCTTTTACCAAATCCTTCCCAGTCTGACACATAACTTCTCAATTTAACAGTGTACTTTTCCTTTGCTGGTCACTCTCCCTGAAGTTATTAGATGTGACCTTGAGCTGCACCAAGGGTACCAGCCCAGCCTCTACAGTGACAAGGCCCTGATTCACCTATTTTGTCCTTAGAATTCGAGGGATCGAGTCCCACGTCGGGCTCCCGGTGCATGGAGCCTGCTTCTCCCTCTGCCTCTCTCTCTCTCTGTGTGGCTATCATAAATAAATAAAAATTAAAAATAAATAAATAAAATAAAATTTATATATATATAAAAAAAGAATCATACGGTACTTACTATACGAGACACGCTATTCCAAGTGTGTGACTTACTAACACATGTAATACTTATGAACGTTCTATAGATGGGAAATAAAAACATGGGTTTAAGTAATGGCTAGCAAGTGTCAGAGCTGGGATTCAAAGCCCTGAAAGAGTCCACACTCTTATTCACTACACACTACACAGCTTCTCACATTCAACGAATAAAATGTTAATTTAATTATATGCCTTATTTCTCTTTGTATCTGCAATACCTAACATAAGACAGGGGACCTGGCTCTTAAATTAATGGTTCCTTGATACCTTAGGTTATTTCAAGTCCACTGTACTCGTAGTTCAAGATGTCTTCAACCTGAGTTTACTAAATGGTACCATGATAAATTCTGAATTTTAGAGTGGGGAGGATGCAAATATCCGCTTAATGGTACAGCAGAAAAGATTACTGAAGGAAAACATGTCTTCAATTAAGCACTCAAAATAGCGCATGTTTTCTCTGCTTCTTGGTCCACCGGGGTAAAAAAAAGGTCCATATGCTTTGGGATCTCATGTATCAGTAAGAGGAACCTCCAATGCTTCTTTAAAAAAAAGCTTCCAAGAAAGTGGAAAATTTGTGCTAGGTTGAGCAATGCCTCCCCATTGCTCGCTCTGGACAAAAACTAACTTTGTTTTCTTTTCAAATAACTTAGCAAAGTGTTTGGAGGAAATGACTTCATGACATTTATCAAAAGTACCCATTGTGATTGCAGTTCTCCTGAGGGGAGTGTGGCAGAGACCAGGCAGGGTAGGTGTGCAGGAAGCAGGGGGGCAGGAAGGAGGCCTGCTTCCTCAAATGCCTCATCTCCACAAAGGGAGTGCTGGAAGCAACACAGGAAAGTGGCCCCATTTTGCAACTGTTTCGGTACTGACTTCAGAATTACCTCCTTCCCAATTTTGAAAAATCAATGCAAATTTGGGAAATGACTGCTGTTGGTAACTGCATACAGAATTATTAAGCCTAGGTTATTCTTTTCAAAGTGCCAATTAGAAGCCAAAAATAAATAAATAAATAAATAAATAAATAAATAAATAAATCCCACCAGCTCCTCCATTGTCATCAGTCTAAAGCATAGAAAATGCTAGAAAAAACTGCAAGGGTAAAAGAGTTACTCGTGGTGAATTTCCTTGATTGGGAATATAAACATTCTGTACTTATCTTTTCGGTTATTGGTAAATGTAATGCATCATGAAGGCATTTTTAAAATGCTTTGTGGGGTTTTTTGGGCTTTTTTTTTCCTTCTAGAAAATTTGCCATATTTTTTCTCTATCATTTTCTATTCATTTTTTAAATCATTCCCAGGCAATAAGTCTTCCTTTGAATTATAATAGTAAGAGAAAAACTGGAACAACTTATAGGACCAATAAATTAGTTGAAATAAGTCAAAGGTCCAACAAAAGGGAATTAATTGCAAGCACTGAATATTCTACAGTTGGTAAACTGTGTTATATAAGGTCATTCCATTTTTGACCAGACTGACTTGCTTAATTGCTTTTAATCCAATCATGAAAAAAAGACCAAGAGTGTATGTTTATAAGCAATGAGATGTTCTTCACGACAAAAATTCTCTCCAAGATTGGATTTATATTCAAGAAGCTTATTCTTGTAATAATACTGTATCATTACTCATTAGTTTATTTAATGAATAGGTAATGAATACATATATGCCATATATGCACTGGGGAATGTTCTGGAGCTTGGAATACATCAATGAACATATCCCACAGAAATCCCTAAATGTGAGGTTATGCTCACTGGCCACAAATTTTTTTTTAAGATTGATTTATTTATTTTAGAGAGACAGAGCACAAGCGGGGGGTGCAGAGGATAAAGGAGAGGAAGAGAGAGAATCTGAAGCAGATGAGTTGCACATAGGGCTTGATCTCATGACCTGAGCTGAAACAAAGAGTCAGTCGCTTAACCAACTGAGCCACCCAGGCAACCCCACTGACCACAAATGCCTGGCATATTTACTTCCCAAAGATTAGCCACATAAACCCACAGTTCTTTGTGAAGGAATTGAGTCAGTCACCAAAACTGACAACTGGAAGAACCTTATTCCAGGTGAAAAATGGTCCTCTTCCCAAGCCCCAGTAATTACTATGCAGAAAGCCCAAGTACCTCATCTCACGCAAGGATGAATCATGAAGACTCAAGGACTCGGAGAGCTTATCATGTAAGATATAAATACCACTCCCCGAAGAGCCACTTGCGTTCAGAACTGCCTTTTTAAAATGGACCACTATAACCATCTTTTATATCAAAGCAACATATGGTATTTTAATTCTAAATTAACTCCTCCATTAGTATAAGTTACAGCATAACATGGGAGAAAAGTTACCTGGAATGGTGACACAAATAAACCACAACAAATCTTTACTCACCACTGGAAACATATTAAAAATGTTCTCTCTAATTAGGATTTCGTTTTTGCTTTCCACCTCATAACTCATGTTGGTCCCAGCTGGAGTGTTATTCTGAGAAACAATGAAGTTTTGAGCAGCATCACAACAGGAAGCAAGTTTTGCTCTGCGAAGGATAAGAAAAAAAGTGAACTATGGGACGAGATTAAGAAACCAGAAATAGAGGCTACAATGCAATGTAAAATGCAAGAGGATTTTGCCATATTGGCTTTCAGAAAGAAGAGAAATCATTCACATAGATGACATTTCTATCTCTTTCCACCCTAACTGGCCCGGACAGTTGAATGATAACCTAGCAGCATCAAAGAGCAGGGAATGGGAAAGATGCTTACGCTCAGGTAAGGACCCTCTCACCAACAGAAAACACTCATGAACATAATGGTTCACGTATAAAAATGTCCTCCTAATGATAATGTTGTAACATTAAAGAGAAAAATGACAGGATATAACGTAATTATTTTATAATAATTATAAAGTACAGAAACTAAATTAAGGACAGTGTACAAATTGTCACCAAAGCAACATGTAGTCATTTACTAGGAGACAAGTCCAATGAAAAGAAGAATCATTCAACACAGTGATTTGTTTCTAGCTTTACTGATACAATTCGCGAGTGCAAATTATTTATATTTAAGGTGTACCACTTCATGTTTTGCTATGTTTATATATTAAGGAGTAATCACCACCACAATCAAGCTAATTGACATATCCATTACTTTACATAATTATCACTATTTTATTTTCTTTAGTGGTGATATAATTAATATTTATCCCTTTAGCAAATTTCAAGTATACAATATAGTATTGCTATCCACAGTCACACTACTGTAAATTAACATGGGGAATTTCTAAGCCAAGGGAATTTAAAGTTGCTATTCCTTATAGAAAGAATGTAATTTAGTATCAAGTTATGTTTAAAAACTCTTACTGTGGAGTGAAACATTATTAATAGAACATAGACCCAGTTAGGTCCTTCCAGGGATCATCAGGGCTTGCCCCTGACCTCTGGCATGTTAATCTAGATCCACTCAGAATTTATATTTTGTTTACATAATTCTCCAGGTATGCAGATTCCACAGCATCACTGATAATTATTCCAGCATTTAATCAACCTTGAAGTCAAGAGACCCTTCCATTTGCACAACTCACCTATCTCTTCACTTGAATCCATCTCCCTTATTATAGTTTTTCATAGAATCTCTCCATAAAAACACTTCATGTAATTGAAATGGTAATAATCAAATAATCACGCAGAACTTGAAGCTTTCAATCTAAAAGCATTTAGAGAAGTTCCTCTTCTCAGATTTTCCTCCTAGGACCAGTCTTCCATTATTATAGTCATCTTATTGCACTTTAAACCTGTACTTACTTCTCTGTGTTAAAATACATATCAAACAGACTCTTAACTATAGAGGACAGAGGTTTGCTGGAAGAGGGGGAGGTTAAATGGGTGATGGGTATTAAGGAGGGCACTTGTGATGAGCACTGGGTGTTGTATGTAAGTGTTGAATCACAAAATTCTACTACCAAAACTAATATTACACTATATGTTAACTAACTAGAATTTAAACAAAAACTTTAAAAAATATGTATTTTTTACTGGGTTCAACCATAGCACAAAGGACAGTGAATATTCAGTGAACAGAACTAACACTATCGTTGCTGACATCCTAGATTCATAACTGGTCCTTCCCCATTTATTGCTTTTGGTCCTGGCGGGTATACTTTTGTACAAGTTCCTGTTGAATTTTGTCCTTTCCAAAAAATACAGTGCTCTAATCTGTCACAGTCATTTTGAATTATATTCCAGTCTTCCCAAATTTCAATAATCCTCAGGGTATGAGAAGCCAGTGCTGTGATATCATTTGTACCCTAAAATCAATATTTTCAACAATCCTTATCAGTTAATTTATTATCATTAAAATAGTACATTCTGGGCAGCCTCCGTGGTTCAGCGGTTTAGCACCGCCTTCAGTCCAGGGAGTGATCCTAGAGACCCGGGATCGAGTCAAACGTCAGGCTCCCTGCACAGAGCCTGCTTCTCCCTCTGCCTGTGTCTCTGCCTCTCTCTCTGTCTCTGTCTCTTTCTCTCTCTCTCTCTGTCTCTCTCTCTCTGTCTGTCTCTCTCTGTGTGTGGGTCTCTCATGAATAAATGAGTGAAATCTTTAAATAAATAATAAATAAATAAGTAAGTAAGTACATTCTTCTTAACTGAATTCTATCAGCTGCTTATTATCCCTCTTTGGATTTCAGAGCCTACCGTGTCTTAAAGATAGTTTGTGGAGATTAACAAAAGGAAAAATTGAAAATGAAATGACGTGTAGGCAAAAACAGGACACTAAGTGTTTTTTTAATAATAAATTTGATCTCAACAACTCATGTGGCATACTGCGAATTCAGAAATCCTTATGTGTTTATCATTTTAAATATCTCTTTTATGCAACATTTTGAGCAAAGGTAATGGAATAAATTCTCATTAACTTTGACAAGTAGCTTGATTTCTCTAAAGATATTCAGTGCTTAAGAATATTATATCACCAACAAACACTAACTGCCGTGTCTCTCATGTTTTTCTTATATTAAAATTTTTTTCTGAAATTACATCCTTAACACTGTATTATAACATTTTCCAACCTATAGAAAAATGTGAAGAATTGGAAGAGCACTTGAACAACTACCAGCTGGATTCTTCAGTGAACTTTTTTTACATTTGCCTTTATTGTGCATCCATCCATGCATTTTTGTGGTGGTGGTGATTACAATGCAAAGTCAATACAAAAAACAAAAAACAAAGTCAACACAGATATCAGTACACTTCAGTCCTAAAGACCTTAATATGTAGATCATCATTTGTTTCTATTTTGGGGGAAATTTACATAAAATAAAATCATAAGCACATTTGAGAAATTTTACAAAATGTGCACGACCTTGTAAAAATGTGCACAAACTCCTGAAAAAATACAGAATATTGCCAGCCCCCCCAGAGAATCCCCTATATCCCTTCCCAGCCAGTCTCCAGCCCTCCCCACCTCCAGATGAGCACTTTTCTGATGAGTTTAATCAAAGATTAGTTTTGCCTGTTCTAGAATCTATATAAACAGAATCATATAGAATGTATGCTTTTCAGTATAAGTGCTCTTACAATTCATCTGTGTTGCTGGGTGTTACCAGTAGTTTGCTCTTTTTTCACTGCTGGACTAGCATTCCACTGTATGGATGTGTCAGAAGCTGTTTAGACATTGCCTTTGCACTCATTAAAAAAATCACTATCAAAAATCAACGTGAAACACCTTATCACTCATAATAACCTCCCAGGAAAAATATCAGAATAGTTATGCAAAATTTCACTTCTGAAGCTTGTCTTTACTGGCCTATGGGACTTTTTAAGGCTTTATATTCAGTAGCAGAATTATAAAGTTATCACTTCCCAGCTCATCCATGTGGTAGAGACCCCTGTAACAGCCAGTGTCAGTATAAAGCTGAGGTACTTATGACACATAGAAGAAAATGGAATTTTATCTCTGCTATCTCATTTCCATCATCCCCAAACACAGTCGCTTCTGATCTTTGGGGACTCTAAAATCAACTAGTTATGTTCACGATAATGGGCACATAGCACCTTTCCCCTTGTTATATAAAAGAGCAGGAAACATTAAAAATAAAAAGGACACTATTGGTATGTGATGTATAATGTTATGGGTGGATTTGGGCCAAGTCAATGCCAAGATAGCTACTTCTGGGTCTGTGAGCATGTGTCCAGAAGAGATGAGTGTTTGAATGACTGGAACTGAGTAAAGAAGTCTGTCCTGCCCAGTGCAGGTGGGCATCATCCAATCTGTTGACGGTCTAAGTACAACAAAAGATGGAAGGCCAGTCTGCTCTCTGTTTGAGCTGGGAAATCCAACTTCTCTTGTTATTTTTTTAAAATTTATTTATTAATGAGAAACACAGAGAGAAAGAGAGTGCAGCAGACACAGGCAGAGGAAGAAGCAGGCTCCACGCAGGGAGCCCAATGTGGGACTCGATCCCAGGTCTCCAGGATCACACCCCAGGTCGAAGGTGGCACTGAACCGCTGAGCCACCAGGGCTGCCCCCAACTTCTCTTGTTGTGAGTCATCATGCTCCTGGTTCTCAGATCTTCAGAGAACTTCTTACACCCCTGCACCCTCTCCCCCAGGTTTGGGGCCATGTAACTCAGACTGGAACTTATACCATTGGCTTCTCTGGTTCTCAGGGCTCAGGTTTGGACTGGAACTACACCACCAGCTTTCCTGGATCTCCAGCTTGCAGATGGGAGACAATGGGACTTCTTAGCCTCCATAACAACTGTGTGAGCCAATCCTTCAAAATAAATCTCTTCCCATGTATCAAGATATATCCTACTGGCTCTGTTTCTCTAGAAAACCTCGATACAGATACTGGTACTGAGAAAGGACGGGGAGTGCTGCTGAGAATACCTAAAAATACACAAATGGCTTAGGAACCGGATAATGCGAAGAATTTTAGAGCACATGCTAGAAAAGGCTTAGGTTTCCATGAACAGAATTTTAGAGGCAATTCTGTTAAGAGCTCAGGAAGAAAAGAGGAAAGCTATAGACAAAGCTTCCATCAGAGAATAGCTAAGCAATCCCGAGCAGATAGACATATCGACATTACATAAAGGCCATTCTGATGAGGACTCGGATGGAAATGAGGGAGATGTAATTATGAAAGGACAACGGAGAAAAGGCGACCCTTCTTTTAAAGTGGCAAAGAAGTTGGCTTTGAATTGTGTTTGAGCTCTAGTGTTTTGTGGAAGGTACGTGCTAAAACTGGATATTGAACAGAGGCGATTCCTAAACAAAATATTGAAGGAGCAGCTTAGTTCCTCCTGACTGCTTATCATAAAATGCAAGAAGAGATGACTCGAAGATGGAATTATAGTCAAAAGCAGGACTTCCAGTCAAAAGATCTGGAAAATCTCAGCCTATCCACATTGAAAAAAAAAAAAAAAAAACCCAAAAACCTGAGAAAGTATGTTCAGGAGAGAACACTAAGAGTATGGCCAAGCATCTGTTTGATCAGGAGATTAGTGTGGGTGTGAACCACAGACTTAATCAGCCACCC